GTAATATACTTAGAGGAGTGTTGTAATCTTATCAGTTGTTAAATTTAGGTGTTTCAAAGGCAACTTTTCTACACATCTAGAATATATGTTGTGGTGTTTGCTATACTATGCACAGAAACGCCTCGCTATAGCTTTTATCCTCATCCTATTTTACTGTTTATATTAAATATACTTTCTCAACTTCATTAATAACTTTCTAAAGTAAGAACATATTTTAAAGTATTGGTTACAGAATGGTCTCTTCTTTACTATCATTTGTGAAACCTTTATATCACTTGCTAACACATTTTTTCCACGGGTGACATTAGTTCGGTATTCCACTGGTTATTCTGTTTGATACACTACGATTCCATTCATTTACTGTTTTAACTCATTCATGAAATGCCTTTTCTTTGTTTAACATTTATCTAGCCACATGAGGCACCATTTGTGGATCCTTTTGGTTCTGATTGTGGTAGGCCTCGCATACGTATTTTACTTGGGCAGACAAATCGTTTAAACTCAATGGGTGGAACATCTTTAACACCTACAATTTCTACTGCTACAATTAAGAATATTTTTGATAATAATAATAATAATGACAATTTAACTAATATGCATTTTTCAACAACAACAACACATCCTGTTGTGCTACACCCACTCACACGGCTAACAGTTTCACATCAAATAAGAGTACAGATTCAATAAAGAGTATTGTACCTTCTTCATATATGCCTCCATCAAGTAAAACAAATTCTTAAAATTCACGCACAAATATCTTTATTCACATTTATATTTATATATGAACTATTTGAGATGATTATTTGTAATGAGTGATGGCAAAAAATAAACTAACACGCTTTTTACTGTTGTTCTATTTCCTTGTGATTTCTTCATTTTAACTTTTTATTCTACATAAATTATGATGAATATTGATTGAAGAAATGGTCTATCTTTCTTTCTTTTGTTTATTTATTTATAATTTACTTCTATATTTGTTGTTTTTTCCCAATTAATTGTATAGTTTCTTTTCGTTTTGTCTACAGAAATGACTGATAATGAGCAACTTAAAGCATAATTCAGTTCATGTATTCTATTTTTGTGTACATCATCAATATTTAGAGTCTATTAAAAATGAAAAAGGTCGATAAAAACGATGACAGTAACTTATGACAACGATATATATATATAAGCATATGAACATGTAAATATACCACATATATATACATATTTTTTCTCTTATCGATGATATTGTTGCATAAATCGACTTACCTTATAATGAATAGGTATCATGTTAACCAGACTTTTTAAATCCTGGTGCTTTTGTTGTTGTTGTTGTGTTTTTTCTTCATTTTATCCAGAATTATGACAGATTCCTTCTTAAATAATATTGCTTTAACTTATTTAATTGTGGAACAATGAATATGTCTTTTGTTAAAACTATTCTAATCATAAAACACAATTTAATTACATATTCAACAAAAATAGTATGATATATGTGTGTTTCATAATTAATGGGCGTCAAACAACCTAACATTAAGGATTTATTATAAACTAGCTATAGATAAGTACGATGGTAACCATGATGTGTTTTGACGTATTATCAATAAGCCAAAAATTATCTTATACTTTCACACTCGTGGTTAGAAAAAAACCAGCACGAAATTTAAGGATTCTGTTATTACTGTTCCTCATTTCGTATTTAAGGATGCTTTTCTTAGTGCTAGTTAATAGGTAGCAGGTGCAAGTCTGACAGTTAATACTGGGCAGTTTCAGCAAGTGTGTATATCCATCATAATATCACTGAGTTGGCTATTAACAAGCTCTTCCAATGTGCACAGTCTCAATGGTTAAAAACTGAATACTAACAGTTTGATCAATGTTATTATACAGAATAACCTCGGTAAGAAGAAGCTGAGATTGAAGGATAGATATAAATAACAACGCTTAAGCATGTTCAGATTAATGTAAGTTAGGTGTAAAGTATTTTACTAGATTTCATTTGATGAAAACATCAGCTTTCTAAACTGAAACATTTGAGTATTATCATCCTAGGTGTATCACCAGTTATAGCTCAATGATGAATTCCTTGTTGACTCAAAAGCAGAGTTTTGAAAATTGCAGAACGAATTTATCCATATTTCTCATTATTAAAATATAACTTTTATTAGGCACATTACGAGGCTACTACATGTAACTCTGTAAGTGCCAAGTATCTGAGCCGATAATCTATTTTGTTTTGGCTTTCCGGATGGTATTTAATCAGTTATACAAATAGGAATGGGAAGTTCAACCAGATTTATCCCTTTCACAGTTTATTATCGATGCCTAAATGTAAAACTTCTGCTTAACCGTCCGGTTTTCTGTAATTATTTCACCCTTGTTATTTTCATACAAAACTGGTAAGTCTCTTCCGTACCAGTATCCAACTAAAATCTGCATGCTGTAATATAACTACGTCTTCACCGTCTCTAATACGCCAAACGCTGTGTATGACAAATTGCTGACGACACTTGCAAAAACACATAAGTAGGGATTTGAAAAATTGTATGATTAGTGAAACTGAAGCGTAGACGTGATATCCGGCTGGCTGTCAACCGAAGGGCGTGTGTACTGCTCAGGAGTCTACTCCATCCTCCTTTATGACCGTGAGCAAGACCTGGCCATTGAGAGTGGAAGACATGAAAATGCCGGCTAGCTGTCTTTGATCATAGCTGTCTGCGTTCTATCTCCCATCTCTGTGAAGTGGTATAATAGGGTGAGCAATGTTTTAATAATGATAATAATAATAATGATTAACTTTATTCCAAAAACAGTACTTGTGATACAGAATGGAATTTTCAGCATTAATCATAATAATGCATCTAATTTCCTCAAATTATAAATAAAATTAATCACACGGAAAATTCTCCACATTCACAATAGGGGTAACGTCAAAAACATGCAGAATATAAAATGGAAATAATAATAATGAAAACAGCTAAGGTAATAATAATAATAAAAGTGAAAATTGCCGTGGGCTTGTTTCACACAATATTGTCGATGCGGTATAGAAATCCTTGCATGTTTCAAAATATCGAATATAATATTCTCTTTACATGATATGGTGAGGGGAAAAACAAAGATTACAGCAGTTATAGAAATAAGTTGATGTTTGCAATTATGAAAGTAAAACAAAGAAGCAACACGACCACAAATATAATAGAAATAATAAAAGTAAAACTTGAAGGTATATACAATGATGGATGGAGGAGATTGTTTATTTGCTAGATGAAGAAAGGTTAGTTAATTCTTGCCTGACACTATTTTCATCACATAAAATACGTGCCAAGTATGGTATCATGGAATTTTTATACTTACACGTGCAAGCATACAATTTTCTGAAGTTACTTCTTGTTCTACCTGAGGAGATGCAAGATGAAAGCTGAGGGTAAAGTGGATGCTTCAAGTCAGACAAAATTCCTTTAGAAAATTTATTGCACGAAGTCAAGTGCCTATCGACAACGACGTTAACTATGTGGTCCACTGGTACACTACTCACTCTACTGACATTCTTCAGCATTCCACCAATTGTGACATAGTCCTTTTTAAGCAAATCAGGAAAGAATAAGGGCGAACAATAAGGAAGAATAGGTAGGATGTAAGAGTTTATGAACTGTAAGAGGATGGGTTGAATTATACCCGAGTGCCTCAACTTCTTAATGTAAAATGTCAGGCGAAATATTTTACTGGAGATCGCTGAGACATGGGAAGACCAGGAGAGATCAGAAGAGAGAATAAGTCCAAGATACTTAATTTCTGATTTAATTCCGATATCAGTGTCATCAATCTTACAACTGTCATGAGAATCGACGGCTTCTTTAAACTGTCTTCTACATCTTAAGCTGAATTAACAGTTTGACATTTAGAAGGATTCAGTTTAAGACCATTAGACTCAGACCATTTACTGACTTCCGACAGAAAGCTATTTATTTTGGTACAATCTAGCTGGGAGTTAACAGCCATTGAAACTGTTAAATCATTAGCGCACTTCACAAAGTTTATTTCATCAGACTGAGGCAAGTCATGTAAGAAGAAAGAAAAAAGAAAAGGAGAAAGGACAGCACCTTGAGGGACACCAGCTTCAGTAGGCAATGAAGTGGAAGACTTTCCTTTATACACGGTGTACTGCTTTCTTTCTGAGAAATGGGAATGTAACAAGTTAACAGCCCAACATTCTGTTTGACTTGCAGCAAGTTTATTTAATAAGATGTCCCTAGGGACCGAGTCAAAAGCAAATGTATAGTCTAAGAAGGCACATAGGAACAAATTTAGCCCCCTTGTCTAGACTGGAAGCAATGTTATGATATAAGACGGCAGTTGCATCTAAAGCGCTTCTACTGCGCTTATAGGCAAATTGTTTAGGGTCATTAAAGGATTTAAGCGAAGGTACAAGACTAAGTAAAAGTAATTTCTCCATATAAGTATAAAACTTGGGCACTGTGGTAGAGTGTAACTCCATTATGGATAAGATTTTATTTTCATAAATCACACAGTGTTACACAGTAATATTAACTGATGGCGTTTCGAGCACAAATTATTGCTCATAATCATATCAAGTTACTCACACACAAAAAAGTTGTGTGATTAAGCCAGCCAGCCACGTAGGAATGTGTAGATTTCCTGACCGGTTGGTGTCCTCGCGACGGTAATAGGCAATCAAGGCTGGAAACAATTGGTGATATGGCTCAAAAGCGTTCTCAGTAGATGCATCTACTCCTTGTGACTTATAATACCCAATAAAACTATATTCTTCTTCGATTTTACTATTCTTTTTACCTCATATCTCTCTTTACTGTCTTTATTTTGCATTCCTTTTTACTTTCTTCTCTTGCTTTGTGCGTTACATCGAGTGTGGTGACTAGAACTACTGCACGTCGGTGCAAAGTTCTATGTTGAAACCAGTCAGTCAGTCAGCTAACGTCAGCACCCTCAGCCTCTAAACATGTGTCTGTTTGTCAATGGTTGAAAGTTCATTTTATCTGATAACTCTAATAAAGCAGATATCAGTTGACTGACTAGACTTGAACATTCGTAAACAGCTGAAAGAACAGAGTGCATATATCTCTTACAACTTATCAGCCAGTCAAGAGTTAATGGGCATTTAGGTGGCTGGTATCGAACGTTCGCGAACTGTACGGATTATACTAACGCAAGATCTTATACCAACAACCTCTATAGTGTTCGTTCTTCGAGTACCAAATGGTAAAGCAAAAGACCAGATTTTGTCGTCCAAAGTACGTATTATATTTCGGGACAAAATCGCGGGTAGAGGTGAATGCTTAGCTAGCTAGTAATCGTGCACGCACGTGACACGACGAAGCACCAAATGGCCGGGGATGCTTGACCGTAAGCCTTCAGCTAAACAAGTCGACTTAAACAGTGATGGTCAGCATCCAATGTTGAGTGATGATTGCTGTGGTTAATAATTTTGGGGAATTATTTACCGCTACAGGCATATTATCATGTAATTCACTGACGAACATTTAGGAGTTATACATCAGTTAGGTTGGTCGTTGATTAATAAGAAATTTCGGCGCGTTTTCAAATTCACTGATGACAGCTACTAAAGTTAACAGAAGTCTTAAAAGAAACTTCGAAAACATAAGTCCTGTGGGTTTGGAGTATGTAAATATTCTTAGTGAAAAACCACAATCCTCAATTATTATACTGCAATGCAAAAGAAGCAACAAGTCATAAACACAGCTTAAACTTATAATCTCTTTTATCTGATCGAATCTAATCACTGTCAGTAAGTAAAGCAGAAATTTTAAAAAATTACTCATTCAAATAATCAGCCTTTATTTTGCGTTGATCTATAAATTATTGTTAAATACAAATACAGTTGTATACGCCTAACTGCAGTAAACTGCAAGCATAAAATGTTGCAAAAGAGTATCATGCAGGATAGGTCGATATCTCTGTACTGATGGTAACTTCTGACTTCTGTAATACAGAGTAAACCTCAGCTAATAAAAACGTCTGGCAAAGTCCCACCAAGAAGAAACAAATTGCGACGCACCACTGCATAGGTACTACCCTTGGGTCTGTAGGGCTTCCATCAATTAATTTTGTTCACCCACTGTAGAAAAGACTTTACTATGGGAACTAGAATATTTATCAACACAGATACTTACAACCCAGAAACAAACTCGCTTTGGCTGGTACATTTTGAATGAAACTTCCAACTAGGGCTTGTAGCGGTAAATAATTCCCCAAAATTATTAACCACAGCAATCATCACTGCACATTGGATGCTGACCCTCACTGTTTGAGTCGACTTGTTTAGCTGAAGGCTTACGGTCAAGCATCCTTGCCATTTGGTACTCCGTCGTGTCACGTGCGCGCACGATCAATAGCCAGCTAAGCACTCAACACGGTTCATGATTTGGTTTCGAAATATATCTCGTACTTTGGACGACTAAATCTGGTCCTTTGCTTTATCTCTGGTACACGAGAAACGAACACTTTAGAAGTTGTTGGTATAAGATCTTGCGTTAGTATA